TGGTTGTGTGTTGTTGTTTTTTTTTTGTTTGTTTTTGTTTTTTTTTTTTTTTTTTTTTTTTTTTTTTTTTTTGGATTAGCACTTAGATGTATTTTCATTTAAAAAAGCAACATTTTGAAACCAGGTTTCACAGGGGTAAATTTGCATAATAAGAATAAGAAAAAGAATAATAACAATGATTAGAAAAAGAAACAGACAGCAGAAAGCACACAAGTAAGCTACCACACACCACTGAATAATAGAGTGTTTCCACATTCCGCTAAAAGTTTGAAATAGTTTTGTCTTGTAAAACATACTACAATAATATTTCATTTACAAAAAATTCAGTGTATGTGAAAGAATGAAATCTCTGATAGAAAGAGATGATGGTATGTAAGAATATTCTTCGTACAGAATGTTTCCAGTGTGGGCACTTGTAATATCGGCCAATCACAGCGATTGTTATCCGACAGTTGTTTTGCTCTATTTGCTTGCCCTTAAAGATCCTGACACTGGCCACAGGTATGACAGAAGCTAAAGGTCACTTTTCTTATAGCCACAATGTAATTCTCCTTGCCCTTGAGTGGGATGTTGTGCTCAGCCAGGCTCGTGCCTATAGAGTTTATCCTTGAGCGAACGGCGTCTCTCATCGATCACTGAGATTGTGGAATTGCACGAGTGAACGTGAAGAGAATGTCTCTTTCAAAAGCCAGGGAACATTGGATATGAACAGCTTGTGGCTCTACAAATTGCTCTAATGCTTTACCCCTGCCTGCAAATATGAGTTTTATGATTGAACCGGGAGACACTAAATGAAATCTGTCTTCTGATTTTATTTGACAGCGAAAATCCCTCTATCCTCAACCTCACCAAAAACTTTCTTCAAAGCTTATTAGAGCAGAACTTTCATCTCCGTCGAAAATGACTGATTAACATACATGAACAAATAGCAATTGATTGGAAGAACTGGTGAAGATCCTATCATAATAAAACAAATGATAACATGTCCATTATCTCAGAGCTGCTCATGACTGAAAGCATCAATCTTTCATCCCCATTATCTCAAGTGCACTTCTTGTTTCAGTCAATACAAAACATTAAGCTTGACTGATCCTACCACTGCTAGTTATTATAATATGATAATATTATGCTGAAGGTCTCTAAGCAATCTTACTGGGTGTCAAAGCTTTTGAGACATTTTAATTAAGTCCTTGATGTTAAACTGACTTAAACTAGCATCCATATTTTGCAGGATCTATCTATTCCCTTGTAAAAACAAAGTACACTTTAGCATACTTTTAAAAAAGAGCACTTATTATTGAAACAATATACTTTAAAATAATATTTTAAGTGTGAACCGAGTGTCATGTTTACAGACACTTAACTGCATGCTAACCGCAATTAAATGAAAGTGTATTATAGTTTAAATGAATATTAAATGTAATTAGCTACATTTTAGAGAGCGTTTAACTCACTCTGGGCTTAAGTACATCTTTACATCTAATTTCATAATTACTTTTATTGTCTTTAAAATATGTTTCAAGTGTACCGCTGAATGTACTGACAAGCATTTATGGTAAACTTTTTGTTGAAATGAGTATGCCATGTATTGAAATTTTATTGGTATTTTATATTTTATACATTTGTAATGATGAAGTAAAAAATCTAAACTTGCTTTAGTATGTCAGCCAACACATTAAATAAGTGTACTTCTTTTAAAATATACTTTAAAGTAAAACTTTTTACATTTTGACATTACAAAGTGCATTTAACAGGGAATAAGTGTGTTAAGAACATAAAAACGTCAATCTTTTCTCAGATTCTGTGAGGAAACCTGGTTTACTTGCTGGAAGGTGTCCTTATTGTCCCTGGCCATAGAAAGAGAATAATTCAATCTTTGTGTATGTCAATATGGACTCCAGGAGCTGGGACAGCTAAGCTGTATTGAACTGAACGTGAAGCTCTCAACCAATATAATACAGCATTCATGAAATCAATTCATCACTCCTTCTAACAGCTCAAAACTAACGATGGCCAGCCAAGACAGCCCTACAGAAAGTACTGTGGCAGTTTCTTTGGCTCCATGTTTAAACTCCGATTCTGACGCTGCAGAGGATTAACTGGTGAGCAAGTGATGTTAAGACTAACATATTGATACTAACACCCAAAAAACTTTAACTTTGATTTCATGGGGACTTTAATTTCTCCAAATCTGTTCCGATCAAGAAACAAACTCATCTATATCTTGGATGGCCTGAGGGTGAATAATTTTCAGCAATTGTTCAGTATTTATTATCTGAAAAGAAGTCTTATTATTGCATGCAATTCTGCATTTAAGGCATTTTTTTTGGTGATTTAACTTGAAGATATATTTTCTGAAAGTAAGTCTAAATTAAGCATTTTTCTTCTCAAGTAAATTTATTTTGAAAAATGTTTAGATATTTTTACTGACTAAAATGCTAAGCAAGTAAATTATTTTTTGCAGTGTAAGTCATCTCTCTCTCTCTCTCTCTGATGATAAGGTGGTTATTCATCATTTGTCCACTGCAGAGGCAAAGAATTTTTGTCAGCTCATTCTCGGGTTTTGAGGAGAGCGGGATTTAATTTTCTTTGGCCTTCACTGAAGGTTGACAGATTCTCTGTCGGTCCCACTGTTGACATAAAGTCTCATGTTGAGTGGCCGCTTCACAACCTTCATCTATGAATGTAAAGATAAAGCTGTCAGGACTCACAAGATTATGCCAGCTGAGAGAGCGGGCCGCTGGTCCTCAAAATGGTACAATTAGTGAGGAATCATCTGGGTCACTTTACCCTCTTTCTCTTCATGTCGGTCATGTTGTCTGCCACAGTAGAATAGAGTGTAAGCTGAACCCAGAAGTGGCTCTCACATTAGGGAGAGATGTCGAGAGATAATAATCACAAATGAAAGGACCTGACAGCTTCCATAGAGCCGTAGGGGGGACAACAGCTAGCGTTGATAAGACTACCAATTCTAACTATAATGACAAAAGTAAATCAGCGTCGGCTGACGCACTATGCCCTGACATACAGGATGACATGACACTAGTAAAATGTCAAAGACACCATGTTTTGGTTTGTTTGTTTGTGGGGTTTTGTTTGGGTTTGGGGGGATGGGGAGAAGAAAAAGATGTTTAGGATGACAGATTAATTTCTAAAAAAAAAATATTATCTAGCAAAATCTAGAAATCTAGCCGAAACTTAGCGTGACTCAGCAGCATTTATCTATGCACAACCATGGCATTTCTGTACAGCTGTTTTAACATCTTAGCAGATGATTCTGTGAAGCTAAGGGTTTTGTGGTATTTTTCAAAATGAAATGTTTAGGTAGATTTATCTATGTTAACCATTGTAATTGTTGGTATCCCAATTAACGCTCTTACTGCACCACCAAATTGGTGGAAATTAAAGTAATAATGAGCAAAAAGGCCAGCAGACAAACCCGCTACATGCAACAATAGTCCAGAACATGAGGTGCATGATGTTGGAGAAACAGAGTAATTCATCACGTTTCTTAGGTTTAATCTTTCCGGGCTAAATATTTCTCAGTTTGCAGCTGATTAGTATTCTATCGCTAGTCACTTTAATCCAATGAGCAGAGCGGCTAATTAAGCAGACGGAAGGGTTAGATTGAAGATGGAATGTTGAAAAGCCAAACAGCGGCAATTATTAAGACTATAAGCCTCACACTGAGAACTAGCTGGTCCAACACAAGAGAGCAATAAAAAGAAATGCATGAGGTTGCCGCTGCTTTGTTCCAGTCTCACAGAAAATAGTTAGGCCAATGCTTCACATTAATGGCACTCACTACTTAGGCCTTGTGAGACAAACATTACACAATTGACAAACATGTTAAGCGTTTTGTGCTGTGTGTAAACCTACCGTTATTGCTGTTGTCATCTACCAGTATGATCTCTTTGAGCAGGTGGCGCGGGGTTCTGTTCATGGCCGAATGGATGGAGCGCACAATGACTGAGAGTGCCTCGTTCACAAATATAAAGACTATACTAACCTGCGGAAGGTTGGACGGGTAAGACATGTTTTTGCACCTGCAGGAACAGATGAAAAAAAGGAGCACAAATGTTAATGTGTGGAGGCATTTCCAAGAATTGGGTACAAATTGATGTCCTTTTAATTTCTAAAACACAAATCCCATGTAAGATTGTGTTAAAGTATTAATGAAAATTAATCAAGTATGCACAATAACTAGTTTTAAACACATCAGCTTACAATGTTGATGTCCCACCTTAGAGGTCTCTGAGTTTTTTTTCATAATCAGAATTTTAAAAAAATCTGCTGAATGCAAATTAAATTAAATAATCTAATTCCATTTTATAATGCTTAAATATTCAGACCTGCTATTCAAGTGACTTTAAGCAAAAATTATCAATAATTTACCAATAATTCAAATATATGATCAACGATACTATTAGTACTGAAAACATTTTTTCTGCTTAATATTTTTGGATATACATTTAAATGTAAAATACTAATAATATATTTATTTAGCAATGATGCATTAAATTGATCAAAAGTGAATCAAAAGTAAATACATTTATAATCTCAAATATTCTTTTTTTTTTTTCAAATAAATGCTGTTTATTTGATCTTTCTACACTTCAAAGAATTCTGAAAAATAATATGTTTTCAAAACCGATAATAATAAGAATCACTGTTAATATTTGATAGCAATTTACAATAACTGATCTGCAAATCAGTATATTAGAATGACTTCTGAAGGATCATGTGACACTGAAGACTGGAGTAATGATGCTGAAAAATCAGCTTTGCCATTGCATAAATAAATTTCATTTTAAAATGTATTACAATAGAAAACAGTTATTTTAAATAGCAACACTATTTCAAAATATTACTATTTTTACTGTATTTTTTAGCACATAAATGCAGCCTTATTGCAGAAGAGACTTCATTAAAAACATTGAAAAACCGTAACGTTTCCAAACGTTTGACAACTATCGTATATTCAAATAGAAAATAATTTACTTTACATTTTAATAATATACACAATATTACTGTTTTGTAATGTATTTTTGATCGAATAAATGCAGCCCTGCATTTCCAAAACGTTAAAAAATCTTAATTATTCCAAACTGTAGACCAGTGGTGTATATACTTCTTATATTTTTCTATAAATGTTGTCTATTTAGTTCCCTTTCATGGGAACTTCGAACTGCGTCCTCTAGGGGTCACTATGGGGAACGCCTCGTCATGACCCGTGTCTGAAGCATACATTGAAAAAACACCAACTCGTTGGCCGGCGACAGCCATGACTTCACTACCGGTGCGACTATAGTATAAATAGGCGCCGGGAGCACACATCATTCTCTTCTTCGTCTTCATTGACTGTTTTGTTTGAAGCATGCATTTCTGTGGTAAGAGCGATCTCTATTCATCTCATTATGGCGAGCACTAGCAAAGCGTTTAAGGATGTGTGCATCTGTGTTGATGTTGTTTAACATCTGATGACACACATGATCTATGCGTTATTTGTTTGGGTGAAGAGCACACACGTGATGCCTCCGAGGGGCCAATCGGCGTGCACTGAGAGAGGTGGATCTGGCCGTCGAGTTTGAAGAGGGGTTTCCCTTTCGCGATCGTCGGTTAACAGGGTGTTGCTACTAAGGGTCTGTTGAGACAGTTCCTTCAGCACGTACAAAGAGAAACGTGCGGTAGCCCCTGTGTGACAGGCCAAGACTAGTATGATTCCAGGCTCTTGGTCGTATTCCCTTAAAGGAATCTATTCCTGATTCCAAGCCTTGAGCTCTACCCCGGGCCCAGGAGTCTGGCCCTAACAGGTAAGTATTTTGGGGTATGTAGCCTAGGCCTTTGGCCGTAGGGAATAACGTCACTGACATCCGTCTAATTTCCCAGGGGCAACTCCCATAGCAATATGGTAGAGTTGGTACTTAGTGCTCGCCATGGTTCTGGCATGCACTCCCCTTAGCATGGTGGCGTGGGTATACCGTTCCCCATAGCGACCCCTAGAGGACGCAGTTCGAAGTTCCCATGAAAGGGAACGTCTCAGGTTACTTATGTAACCATGGTTCCCTGAGTAGGGAATGAGACACTGCGTCCTCTAGGTTTCTAGCCATGCTGCGGACGCAAGCTTCAGACGAAGAAGTGAACGATGTGTGCTCCCGGCGCCTATTTATACTATAGTCGCACCGGTAGTGACGTCATGGCTGTCGCAGGCCAACGAGTTGGTGTTTTTTCAATGTATGCTTCAGACACGGGTCACGACGAGGCGTTCCCCATAGCAACCCCTAGAGGACACAGTGTCTCGTTCCCTACTCAGGGAACCATGGTTACATAAGTAACCTGAGACGTTTTTGCTTATTTAATAATTATTGCCAAAATAATAACATCACACAAATCAGGGTTTAAGATGTATTTAGAAAGTTTTAGCAACCAACAGAGTTGCAAAACTGCAAACCTCATGCAAAATTTATAATAAATAAAAAAGCTCATATAATATTTAGTTTGACCTCCTGAGGTTTACAATCAGCATTTTCAGAAGGTTAGGCAACTTCTTTGCTGACCATTTATTTAAACATGACTTCATCTTCAGTTTCAGGCCCTATTCTGTTTCCTTTACATGGAAATCGCTGGAAATACTAACGAGAGACAAAAGGCAATTAGACAAACAGGACCTTTTTGGTAAATATGGTGGTCTTTACAAAGATAGGTAATGTTTTGATGTTCTTGGCAGACTGGAGTTTATAACAAGTGGGTTTTGAAGGTTTTCAGACCCAGGTACTCAATAGCAATTTGGCTTCACGGAGAGAAAAGAACAGATGTGATCAGATGTGAAGGAGTTCTTTATGTTGCTGCCAGCAAGACACATCCAGAAATTACAGGCTATGGAGTAATTATGTTTTTCCACACACACCTCTATCAAAGCCTTTCAAAACAGAGTCGTTTGTGTAAACCGTATGTTGACATGCTTTCAACCCATAACAGACTGTAAAAAAAAAACTACTGCTGATTTTCAGCAGTATTTTTATACACTACTGGTCAAAAATGTGGAATAATAATTTTTTTATGGTTTTGAAATATGTTTGTTATACTTCATTTATTTTATCAAAAATACAGAAAAAAACGATAATATTGTGACTTTTTTTTTTTTTTACAATTTAAAATTAAAATTAAAATTCTAATGATATATATTTTAAAATGTAATTTATTTTGGTGATGATAATGCTCAATTTTCAGCATCATTACTCTTCAGTCTTCGGTGTCACATGATCCTTCAGAAATCATTATAATATGCTGATTTGATGCTTAATTATTATTGGTGCTCAATTATTAATAATATTCTTATAATCAATGTGGAAAACAATTTTTACTGCTTAATACTTTTGTGGAAGCTGTTTTTTTTCAGGATTCTTTCATGAATAGAAAGTAAATAACATTTATAAAAAAAAAAAAAAACATTAGAAATTACTTTGATGTCACTTTTGATCAATTCAATGCATCCTTGCTGGAAAGTATTCATTTCTTTTTTCATTTTTTTTTAAATCTTACTTATCCCAACCTTTGAACAGTAGTGTATCATGGTTTCCACAAAATATTAAGCAGCAAAAACTGTTTTCAACATTGATAATAATAATAAGAAATTATTCTTGAGCACCAAATCTGCAATGAATTACATTTTAAACAGAAAAAAGTTAAATTGTATTATTATTTCACAATGTTTTATACTTTTTTACTGTATTTTTCATCAAATAAATGCAGCCATGGCAAGCATAAGAAACGTCTTTCAACACGCAAAAAAAATGTAGTATACTTGGGATCCATTGTAAATACCATGCTACACGAATATGGTAATCATTATATAGTATATATATATATATTAATATCAGTGCATATTGGAGGGGTGTGGTGGACCTGAGGAAGCAAAAAGAAGGCAATAATCTTCTCATCCGAATTTGTTTTTGAGAACACTGCTCTTGTTTGCCTCCGAGGAGAAAACGCCATGGGTATATATCAAAATACTATATATTAAAATCATATTTCAGTGAGAAATGAACACAGGGCATCTGCTGACTGCAAACATTGATTTGTGCTCAGCAATCACATTAGTTCACGCAGGCATTGGCTGTGACAGTGAGTAAAGGACAGACAGACTGTCAGACACTCACCCTTCAGGTCTGTAGTCTGGGATGGGTCTGTCCATAGAGAGGCGGTCGCTGAGGTAACCATTGTAGCCGTAATACTGAAACATCTTGAGGGCCATTCTGCGGCTCTCTGGCCCCATATCCTGGCCCCAGTGGTTGAACAAGGACGAGTCGGAAAAAGATCGATCTAGCTGATTGTCATCTCCTTTCAGCGGGGACTCTGTGAGGGTCAAAGAAAGAGATGGTTGGCGTTTCTCTGATAATGAAACGTGTCAAGAGAACAGAGGCTACAGAAGGAAAATGACACCGAGCGCGTTTACATTCAGCGATTTTGCTTAATAACACGACAGTTCATGAATAAATGCCTTCACTGGTGTTCTTTTATTAAGCAAACCCTTGTGAAAAAGAATTGTGCTTAACTGAATTGAAATATTCAAATCTTAAAAGTATCATTTTACTTAACTGTACTTGCTTATAATATAATAATAATGAAATAAAAGACCACTTAAGTTCACTTAAAAACATTACACTGTTTCTTAATACACTTTCTAAAAATGTCAAACCAACAAAATAACAAATCACATAAGCGTGTGTGTGTGTGTGTGTGTGTGTGTGTGTGTGTGTGCGCTCATGTTTCTTTCTCGTTCCCTCCCCAGCGCTACTGATGGCTGGTTCGTGGCTTCAGGGGCATAACTTTCACACCTCTCTATTTCTATCGTTCTGCATTTCTCCAGTTTCTATTTGAAGATGAAATAGATAATTTTTGAAATTCAACACAGCTTGTTTCTTGTGTAACATTTTGCCCTTTAAACTCCCTATATATGCAACTAGGGAATCACATAGTGGTAATTTCAAGGCAAAGTTGTGATATGTTTTAAAAACTCTTAAAAAATACATTTAGTGTGGTGACAACTGCGATCTTGTAAATTTTATGTTCTCCCCATTTTAAATAAAATAAAATAAAAAATCTAAAACCATCTGTATTTTTTTTTCTGAAACTTCCCTGACACCTCTAGTAGGTAATTTGTGTGACAATCTAATGAAGTGGTAACCATCCCTAGATAAAAAAATATATATATAAGACAGAGAAAAAAACAATGCTTTAAAGGGATAGTTCACCCAAATATGAAAATGATGTCATTAATTACTCACCCTCATGCAGTTCCAAACCTGTAAGACCTTCGTTCATCTTCGGAACACAAATTAAGATATTTTTTGATGAAATGTGAGAGCTCTCAGACCCTGCATAGACAGCAACGCAACTGTAATGTTCCCAGGTCCAGAAATGTAGTAAGGACATCGGTAAAACAGTCCATGTGACATCGGTGGCTCAACTTCAGGTTTGCGAAGCTACGAGAATACTTTTTGAGCGCAAAGAAAACATAAATAAACATAAATAACATAATTTATTCAACAATTCTTCTCCCCCCAGTTACGTCTTCTGCCATTTTAGAGTATCAATACTCTACAAAATGGCGGAAGGCGTAACTCAGGGGAGAAGAATTGTTAAATAAATTGTTATTTTTGTTTTCTTTGCACTTAAAAAGTATTCTCGTAGCTTCACAAAACTGAAGTTGAGCCAATGATGTCACATGGACTGTTTTACAGATTTCCTTACAATGTTTCTGGACCTGGGAATATTACAGTTGCGTTGCTGTCTATGCAAGCAAGGTCTGAAAGCTCTCACATTTCATCAAAAATATCTTAATTTGTGTTCCGAAGATGAATGAAGGTCTTACGGGTTTGGAATGACATGAGGGTGAGTAATTAATGACAGAATTTTCATTTTGGGGTGAACTAACCCTTTAACTCAAAGACTGCTGCTGTGGGATGGTGATTTGCAATTGATTTGCAAAAAGGAGAATATTATACTGAGGGAAAACAATGTTCCATGCGAACAATATCCTTACATAACACTCCCATTGTGCATGAGCCTCGTTTTTGTTTGCGTTTCAATGTCACTTTGATTGACCTTTGTGCTTGACTGTCGCTTGTGACCTTTCCACATCTAGCAGCGTAAGCCACGCACTAACATGCAGCAGTTTGTAGCTATAAAATAGAAAGCAGAGCTTCACTAATACATATTTTATGAATAGCTACTATATTAAAGAACAAATTCAGCTCAAGCTCAAGTTGCTTCCAACATAAGACATTAGCTGTAAAATCCTTTTAACAGACCCAATGTGCTCAAAATATTTTTTTCATGGTTAGTTCATGCCATAGTTAACAAATGGAACCTTATTGTAAAGTGTTACCAATATATCTTTCTATTGACGTTTCTACTGATTGATTGATTGATTGATTGATCAAGATCAGGTTGAGCATATCACTTTTATTCAAGAGGAAAGAAAGTCATTGACAACTGTCTGAGAAAAAGAAATGCAAAAGAAAATTAACATGCTGCTTTCCATAGAAGAACGCTAATACTGTAGTTACTTTTTGTAATGAGTAATTGTTGCCATTTCTCATTAAATTCCATCCACATCCATTTTATAGCCCTATATGCGCAATACTCATACTGTATGTGAACTGTGTGTCTAATGTGGTGTTTCTGGGTTTGTTTGTTTTTTTTTCTCCAAGGAATTCTAGAAAAAGCATCTAAAAACAGACAATGCTCTATTAAATCTCCTGAGAACTGAAAAGGCAATAATATATGATTTTTCCCTTGGTATTCTACATTTGTAAGAAACAAATCCATCAAGACATTTTAACCTTTTAACTTTAGTCCACAATCCACAATAACACTTCCTCCAGTGAAAAAGTCCATCTTTTGTTGTCCACTCAAAAACCGCTGACATATTTTTTTAGAACTGTTTTGGGTTGTTTTTGCCTTTAAACAGTGCTTCATTTGTACATACAACTTTTTCACTGGAAAAAGCAATATTATGTAAAGAGAACTTGTATTTTACCAAAATAAATGGTTTGAAGTTAAAAGCATCTCATGATGGATTTGTTAAATACAATCACAGATATTTTTTTGCTGCACAAGACATTAAAGTTGGGGTAAGCGATTTTTCAAAAACGCTTTAGAAAACTGATTCGGGCCGACTAGCAAAACAAACTTGTAGCCAATCAGCAGTAAGGGGCGTGTCTACTCATGATGTGGAGGAGAGAGCGTTCATTGCACATGCCAGACAATAGCGAGCCGAGCGACAGAAAGATAGAGATGGCGGATAAAAAACAAAAGAGGAAAATGTCTGCGGAACAAAAGAAGGCTTAAGGCAATAAGGCAAGAAGTAGGACCCGTGTAAATATCGGATCAGCTTTCCAGCGCTGGAGAGAACTCAAAGCGCGGAAGGCCTGCGTTCGGACGCCAAGGTTGCTTTGTTTCTTCTCGATAGGTGAGTAACACCGTGTCTGCGCTGCAACAGCTAAAGTCTGTCTAGTACACTGGACGCGACAAAGCGACCGTTGAAAATCATTTGAAATTTGTGTCAATACGTCATGAATAAAACGCAGCAGCAGTTTTCTGTCGAGGATTTGTCATGTCATGCCGCGCCACATCCAGTGTAGACCATTATTATAATGAGTTCTATAGTATTTTGTCGTGCCGCACCACTCACGTCCGGTGTAGACACGGTGTAACATTGGTTTTGCTTTGTTTCACAGAACTAATCGTTGCCTGGGTTGCGTACGTATGTGTGGGGCGGAGCTATCAAAATAGGGGCGAGACCCTTTTGGGATAGGGGCGTGTTTGTTTTGGTGATTTCAAATGTCAACATTGGCTACCAGAAATCGCTTAACCCACCTTTAACTGATGGACTTCAGTCATGTAGATTACTTGTAAATTATTGTGAAGTTTGTATCAGCTGTTTGGACTGATGGCACCCATTCACTGCAGAGGATCTATTGGTTAACGTGATGTAATGCTAAATCTCTCCAAATCTGTTCTGATGTAGAAACAAACTCATCTACATCTTGAATGGCCCAAAGTAAATTTTCAGCAAATTTTCATTTCTGGGGGGACTAGTCCTTTAAAAACAGCCGTTATTATATCTGCGCACTTGATATCTACAATATTTCAGGCTATGGGAACCGAATACACAGAATGGGGAAGTCACATTATTGTGAGCAAGAGTATTGCAACCTGGACCTGTGTGAAAACATGACTACAGAGTCCCCAGTCAGAAAACTGATACTGAGAGGGTCAGTCTGGATCACTGACGGAATCAAATACGGCTCTGTTGGAGACTGGCTACAGAGAGCACAGACACCCACCCAAACGGCAGCTCTGAATAAACATTGGAGCCGTGCTGTTAACATGGCTCTAGACTGCAGCAGGCTTTAAGCACTGGCACAGGAATGGGGTTTATTGGACCCTGTGCACAAACACGCAACATCTGACTGCTGAGATGGAATATCAATATAATGTATTTCTACTTGCTAGTAGAAAATGAATTCTGTTTTATGTGTGAACGCTTTCTGTACTTCCCCTTTCCAGTTCCCTTTCAGTCGGTCACTCTTGACGTCACGTCGTGACCGACGAATTGGGATCTCGCCAGAGAGAACAATCCACTTCGAGTGTAACTAAACGAGCCAATGGACATTGGCATGCGGAATCGCATCTGGCTGCCACACCCCGCAGCGCAGGTATAAGAGACAGCAGGTGCACCGCATTCATTCATCTTTTCGCTTCGGAGCCGAGCGGTGGTGTATCACTACTGCTCTCCCTCTTCGAGTGATTGACGAGTGCGGGCGTTACGGCAATCAGCAGCGGTGGTCACGGTCTCACAGGGGAAGAAAATCATCCTTTGTATAGATAGCCACACCAGGAGTGTGCGGTGGCCAGCTCCCCTGGTTTCTGGATGTGGTCGTTACCTGGCGCCTCAGGATGGTCACGATCGCTGCCTCACGTGTCTGGGCATTAAGCACGCTGAGGAAGCTTTCGTGGATGGTGCATCTCTTTGTGGGAACATAACCATCTCGGAGTTGCATAAAAGACTCCGCTACGTCAAACGTGGCGGAGTCCCTCTGCTGCGATCCAGCATTCGTCCCGGCACCCGGGGCGTCGCTGCTTCCTGTGGAGTCAGAGGTGATTTAAGGATCACGGTGAGGGCTTCTCCAGAGGAAGTTCCTCACCCCTCAAGCGCTCCGCAGCCGGTGGAGCTGCCAGAGGTGCGCGCTGGGCCCTCTGCAGGACAGAGTGTACCGCCCATATCTTTCGGTGCTCCCCCTGACGACTAGATGTCGATCGCTGCATCGGAGGGCAAGCTCTCTCTC